AAGTTCACACCTACAGTACAACAATGTCCTTGTGCTTCTGTTTATGTTGTAGTGTGAATCGGCTCTTTACAACCATTATCAGTGTCGATTCCAGGCCCGAGGAAACGTAGGACGACCGTGAGACACAAGTCAAATCACAGGCAACCCAACCATTTATTAAAAAATCTCAAATGTACCGAACTGAATGCAAATAAAATGACATCCCACTCACCAGCTCGGTATCAGTTTCAATAGTCTACCTCTTGGAATAATTCAACTAATTTTTCCTGCCAAAAAGGCTTGCGTATAATTTGTTGTGAGAACTCTATAGTTGTGTTAACACGAAGGGCATTTTTAGAATAAAATCTTTGTAGTTTCTGATTTGATTGTAATAAAATCTCTATTTAAAAAACATTGTCTGAAGAGTTTCCCCTAAAATAAATAAGTGGTTTTCTATACCAGTACTTTATCGATCAAACTCACTTAAATGCGACCGTTAAACTGATAACATTTTAGACAAAAAATCAATAAATATGATAATTTCAAGCCTACATCTAGCTTAACCCTATTCAGAGTGGTCTTTCGAGCCCCCCCTCGCGTAATAAGCCAATAACTTTCGAACCAAGACAGCCAGAGTTCTGAAACTTTCGGACTTTTAAATTTCCTAAAATTTATCTGGGCAGATTTTGATTTAAATTTTTTGTTGATAACGTCATCCATGTCGCCATGGCAACCAGTTTTTGACACATAGGTTYTCAAAAAWGTAAAATAWGCTTAATTTTTCATTTCTAAAGCTTATTTCTTGTTTTATTATGCATCTTTTACCTATTTGAGCTTGCTCCCATTGCTGACTCTACGATACCATAATACTTTTTCGACAACAAAAACTTTGGGGAGAGGGGTGGGTAGTTTTCTGTCATTTTTTCACATGGGAAAAAATTTCATTAAAATCATCAGTAACACTTCGAAACTCACTTTTTTATACATTAAATGTTAGTTTGAGAAGTATTTCAGACATTTTGAGCTGTTTGCCTCAATGCTTAGTTTTTTTAATGGCATTTAAGAAAATTCATGATGGCGGTCCAAGATGGCGGATCCTAAGATGGCGGATATTCTTCTCAAAATTGCTTGTTCCAAATTGTTTAACTTCAAAAACTTCTCAAATTGTAAATTTTACCATAAAGAAACGATGTAGACAAAAAAAGTGAGATTTGGAGTCATATTATTCAAAGACGACAAAGACACTATAGGAAATGACATCATCACACTAATGACGTCACAACTGTTACCATGGATACAAAACGAACCACAACATCACAGGAGAGCAGTAACGCCTAAATATGATATTTAACTGGTTATCTAGATATAGATATATAATTTATAAAAATTACCTGATATCTATGACGTCATTGTGACGTCATATAGAACAGGGGTCAATTAAAAAATACAAAAATATTATTTTCAAGTCATTTCAATAATAAACAGTTGATATTGCAGCATTCTCTATGGAATTGTAGACAATTTATCAAAATGAATTATAAATCGTTGAAATGGTGAAAATGACGTCATTATGACGTCACATTTGGTTCCCACGGAACAAGAATGGGTGTGGTGGTTCGTTTTACATGGGCGACCATTGTGTGAAAGTTTCATGCTCACAGACGTATTGGTTCCGAAGATATTGAGGGGGGCCGAATGACCCCCCCCCCCAGTCACAGTTTGAAAAAAAAAGCCCAGTCTGAATAGGGTTAAAATGACGATATGCTTTCAAAACTGAGCAAAAATGGGGTAAATATAGTGCTGATTGTCACTGTATGGTATTCTAAATCTGACAATTGTCTTCCAAGTTCACTTACTCTCGATTTCAAATGAGTACGAGCTCTTTTTTGAACGCTAAACTTTCACTGGACCGTCATTCACTCGACCGCTTGGCAAGCAGGCACACGTGTTTAGTAAGTGATGCGTGACTTTCTGTAGCGGGACTTTCGCATTTAAAATTATGGAGGAAGAAGCGGTGGTCTTTGCTCGAGATATCTGAGGTCCTTGTGTTTCACAGAACATTCTACTTCATTCAATGCAATTGAGAATAATTAGAAGAATATCAACTAAACTTGATTAAAACATATAATTTTCTATCTGATTTGTAGGTTGGCTTTATTAACTTGTAAACATAAAGTATAAACTTGAGAAAGCTATATATAGTTGGATCTTAGACTTTGAAGAATGTTTATCAGGAGTGAATACAGCTTTTTCAATAAATGTTGTCGGTGAGACTTGTAGATGCACTACCGAAATTCACTCTGGGAGTCCAAGGTGTTCAATAATGATAAATCATATTGCATGCCAGAATTCAGTTTTTTAATAATTGGCTGTAGCTTAGACGCATTTGTACACGTTTTTGCTTTCTTTTCTTTTCGAAAAGGTATACCAATAGACCAATCCCGAATTCGCTTGGATGAACACGGAACAATGGCTTTATTTCGAGGCTGAACTTTTCGACAAAAGATAAAACTCCAGCATCGGAATGAAGCCGTTGTTTCGTGTTTATCCAAGCRAATGCGGGATTGGTCTATTTACTGTTCATTTAAAAGAATTTGTCAAGGAGATTGGAAAGAAGGCGACCGAGGTATTGTGGGCATTGATTGTTGATGGCAGCGTTCAGCTACCTATTGCAGTCAGTAATCTCCATCTCCTGTAGAGGCTTGCTTGGCTTGCCCGTGCTTTAGAAGATTTGTGACTGAATACGATCCATCGAAAATTGAATATCCTAGTAATATGGGCCGTGCATATTACTGACTTAAGTTAACTTTTAAGCTAAAATATTAGTTTTAATATGACTGTAAAGCGTTTGGCCAAATCCACTGCTCGATATTTCGGAGTTTTATTTGAACTAGTTTCGTAAATACTTTCTTTGACTTTGTCTGTGCATAACTTCAAACATGCATAGAATAAACTACTTTACTTACTTTGCATTACGAATTCTCCCTCTGTGGTTTGTTTCGAAGTGAAATTGTGTTTTTAAATTCAAAAATCGCGCTTCTCTGCCATTCGTCATCTTGAATTGTCATCCTGTGACCGAGTGAGACTAGAATCAAACATCCATATATGGTTGTTTGCGAATTAACGCAAACGGCACAGGTAGTCCACACACACAAAAAAAGAATTTATAAGTATTAATAATGAAAATAAGCTTCTCTACTTTGGTATTTGCCTTCTATTTTGTGTGATGTATTTTACGTTCTAGCTGCGTCGAAGTTCTGGTGATTAGCCCGGGATCATTTAGCTTGATTTATTGAGGTGAATATGGTTTTTCAAATGGGGATGAGTGGCTATATTTTTGTCATTTTCATGAGCTGATAAAAAAAATAATAATAACTAAATTTATCAGACATCCGATAAAAAATAAAAATTTTGATACTCGCAATCTTGGGGTAACCATATTTAAACTTCATACTCGCTGCCGTTTTGGGTGAAAATATCAAAAAAAGTTTTTTTTCGCGTTATTCCAACATGGCGGGCGATAGTTTTGTTCTTTTTCCCTTGAATACATATAAGCTAACTTTATTATATGAATTAATAAATAGATCAACACGATAATATCAGTATATTTTATTGACCTTTTGATGATTGGAATGATACCGAATAACTTTGAAGGATGAGTTTAACGCATTAGTTGAAGTTTAAGATCATGAAATGCAAATAATTCTGCTTTCAATAATCTGGGCGATATTCAGTGGGTTAGACATTCACTGTAATCTTTGGCTTAAGGAAATCCCTAGTCTGGGCTCTTTTACTTCCTTGGCTTCTACATCTTGAATCATCTGGTCCGGTTGGATAGTTGTCGCTCCAGTACAGATAATAAAACCAGACATTCATGTGAGTGTAGATGGATCGCTGAAGAAACGAGAAAAAAAATATAAATCATAATTTTCCAGTAGTGAGATAAGCATACAATAAAGAGTAAGTAAAAACAGAGTAATATCTATTTACAGCTCCAACGATTCTACGTTACAAATAATGGACACGTTTCATTCCTACCCCCTAACAGCTTCCCCCCATGTTTAATCAAACCCCTGTGACTGCTTTCCCTTTCTTTCTATGAAAAGAAAGAGCATTTTCATGCCTTATAACTACACTACCCTCCTCAACCTAAAGATTCAGTTGCAGCGTCTATCCTAAAGGTTTAATTTGATGTCCTGAAAACATCTTTGAAGTTTTACTCACATCAAAAGTACTACAGTTTTCGTCCGGTATCTGTGATCCACCACATTCAGCATTCTCATCAATGGGCATGTCAATTGTATATGTTCCAAACGGRCTCTGACATTCCTTGGCTCCTAAAAGGGCATCATCGCAAGGCGTGTCGCTTAGGAAATGACAACACATGGGTTGAAAGCGTTCGTCATTTTTCCCCATGCAGAAAAGCGAACCACCTGAAACAAGAACATAAAGTGTGACACTGAAAATCACTAACTATCAAGACTCTTAAAGAGGATTGGGAGAAGGTTAAGGAGCGAGGTAGGGAGAGAAGAGAAGAGGAGAGAAGAGGAGAGAAGAGAAGAGGAGGAACAATATCGATCCAAGCTTTTGCACTGCAAAAACGAAGGCACGATTTCATCACTACTATGAAAAGATTCACCAGGRATATTTACTAGCTGCACTTAATTTGCAAGTGCGCAAACAAAAGCATTGTTTGGAGAAGTCATGTGCTTGGTCGAGCAATTTTAAAAGTGCTCTCACTACAGACAGACGCCATTAAGAATGATTATCTTACTGTTTCCTTTTTGCTTTTCTTCATTGCATCTGGCTGTGTCTGTGATCGTAAAGCGGTCGAATTCAAACTTTCGCCACGAAGTAGTTCCCAACTTCTGACGGAACTCTTTAATGTTGCCCTGACCATCTTTGAAATATGAAGCGCTCTCATGCCGTACTTTCAAATGTACCCTTACCGGCATGTTATCATCGTTCTCCTGAGAATTAGGACCGTAGAGCTCGACATACATCTGAAATACAAAGGTCATTTAGTCCTCGATGAGATAATGAAGTATCAAATGGGATAAGGCACCAGGGATCAAGGATCATAATTATGCGTAGAAACCTTACCTTTAGCAAACGGACGTTGAAACACGTTCTACAGCTTTCACCGATACCAATGTTTAACCTCGCTTTACCCTTATGGAGGTCTCCAAAAAACTAACATTGATTAAACAAACAAAATACTATTCAATATATTTTATA